AACTCTCAGTCAGTCTAGATGCAGTGACAATGACTGCACATTCTATTATAGTTCTATCAGAGCAACTTTCAGTCTAATAGATGTGGCGATCAAGACCGCACCACATTCTGCATAACAGCTATCTTTACATAGCAAACTTAGAAAAGTGCATTAGCAGTGAAGACGGGGTTGGCCTTCCATACCCTCCCGCGAAGCCGCAGTGGGCAGCTAGCTAGTGCACTACTAATCAGTATGGAAGGCCGGGCACAACTGAGTATCCGTCTTCTCCCGCATAAAACATGCAGTCGATGTTGCTGCACCTAGACAGAAGGCTGCTCTAAATACAACTATAATAGATCGTGCAGTTATTGTTGCTGAATCTAGACTGAAAGCCGCTCTAAATACAACTACAATGACCGTACGCTCTATTTGGGGGAAGACGGTAGTTCAGCATCTTGTTTCTACAGATATGCCCAACGATGGGCAAAGCAAGAAATAAGCCCCCCCCCCTCAAACAGCCTTTCAGAGTCCCACCCACGGTTCACACTCTCTCAGCCCGGCCACATGGATCTTGCTCGACGACACCAATCTATCCCCATCCACCTGTAAGCATACCCCCTTCCCCCGCCCCCTCCAGTAGTACAAATCCAGAAGTGGCATGTGTACGAAGCTGGACGCCCTACTACTGGCTAATGCACCCTGTGCCCCTACCCATCCATGTGCTCCGAAAGGCACAAACCACCGGACGCTAACCTGCGTGTTGGATGTGCAGACTGCCTTGTCCGCGCTCCGCCGCTGCCTTCCTGCCCGTCCCGCTTGCGTCCCATGTCGTTTGCAAGCTGCTGTGTTCACGGTGTGGTGTGGCTGTGTTGTCGGTGTTGACTTCTGCTCCACTGCTCTGCTGCCTTGCCCGCATATCCGCATGCCTTGCCTTCCGCGTTCCGTGTTCTTTGCTTGTGTCCCATGCAGTTCAGCTGCTTGGTTGGTGTTGTCTTCTGCTTCGCTGCGCTGTTGCCGTGCTGCCCCTCCACCTGCCATGTCGTCCATTGCAGTTAGCTTTCCGGCGTTGTGCAGTTGGGTTGTTCCGACAGCATCGCCTTGTGCTTCGCTGTGTTGTTGCCTGCTGCTGTGTTTCGCTTGTGGACAGTCTGCCTTCAACAAAGGGTCAAGCAGTTCATGACCCAAATCATCAATACGGGGTTTCAACAGATTCTTGAAGGGGTTTGGCCTCCTGACGAGTCGTTGCAACTCCGATGACACTGTGGCTCGCTGTATTGGTGCCTCACTGCCTCACTGCTCGTCCCTGTGCCCTGTCCTTCCCTGCAGTTCGCTTGTGTGCCACGTTGACTGACCACTGTTCAAGTGCGTCTCTGTGGTTCACCGTGCCGTTGCTTTGCTCGGCCCACTTGCTCGATCCACAACTGGACCAACAGTTTCGAATTGACTCTGCTCGGTCCAATTGTCGTTCCATGCGTCAGACTATTTTAAGTTTTCGGAATGCTCTGCAAGCTTTCACCGTATGGATTTCCGGATATTTCAACAACTTCGTGCATGGGTCTTTCGTAGACACCCTACCTGGGGTCGACAAAGAATCAAGCATAAGTACTGAGAATCAAACTTGGCTTGGTTTTCATTTGACGCTGCTCGGTCCAATTGCCGTTCCATGCAGTTCGCATTGACGCTGCTTGGTCCACAATCGGAGCGACAATTGCTCGATCCACAATTGCTCGGTTCCATGCGGTTCCACGGAACGACAGCACAAGTGGACAAAGCAGTTGGGTTGTAGTGTTGCCTGGCGCTGCACTGAGTTGTGTCCTCCGCTTGTGATGTTGCTTGTGGGCCATCCGCTTTCAACGAGGGTTAAAAGAGTCGACGACTTAAAGCATCAATATATGGAGATTTCGTGAGATTGTCGAGGATTCAGGCTCCTGACGAGTTGGAGCAAGTCCTACAATCGATCATGATCAGTTGGTTTTGATTTGTTTTGTGTTTTCAAATCTTTTTTTTTTTTTTTTTGCTCTTGGTTCGTGTTGGTACTTGTTTCTTTTCCTGTATGCTGATTTTTGCCTTGGTTGAGTTTCTGTTGCTCGCTGCCTTTTCCTTCGCTGCATTGTGCTGT